TAGTCCTACTGTGATTGGGGGAGGCCTGAAAGATGAGAAAGTAGGAGACACTTGGCTTCCAGGTCATCCATCTACTCTGTTCAGCTACTCTTGTCCTCTTGACCGTCTCCTGGGAGAAGCCTCCCACCCCTGGCCTGTGGTGGGACTCCAGCTCTGTGAATCCCCTTATCTGTGTGATCATGAGGTCACACAAGTCTACCAGTCTCAGATTTATCATCTATGCAATGGGAATTAAACTAGGACTGACAACAGAAAAACCTGTAAGGATAAACTACTTTATATTTATTATGTTTTAAACAGTAACCAGCACATTTTAAGAGCTATACAACTAGTAGCTATTAGTAACTCTATCAGGTCAACTGCAGCAATCTGAAATACACCAAGTATGTTGCCCTGCCTCCAGGCAGGGTTACACCTAAATTTGAAGCAAACAAAGTAGCTGCACTGAGAACCTGAAAAGGTCTTTGGCCTATGAGGTATCTACAGTTAGGTTTCCCTATAATAAGGGTTCTTACAGACGCACCCCTCAGTGTCCTTGTATGAATTTAGGCACATTTTGTCTCTTACCGTAGTGAACTGAGTCTTAAATTGTATGTTTTCTGAGCCTTGAGAAAGCAACACAGCCTGGTAATGTCTACATGGCCATCAAGGTCAAGCTGTCTCAGGAGAGATATTATACTGCTCAGACGGTCTGGCATACCTTTCCGTATTACCTTCCTCTTCTTTCCCATCTCAGCTTTCCCACTGAGGGGATGACAAGACCTTCTTATGTGGTCTACTCTGATTGGGTTAGATAAGTGGTCTCTTTCAACTTACTAGTGCCGTTTGGTTTATTCAAACCTGGCCCTGGTTTAAATATGATACTAAAGAAAGCCATCACTTGTGGGAACATCTCAGACTAGACCAAATTGCTTGGCTTTAAAAAACACCACACCGCAGTTAAGAGTACTGGCTGGCTCTCACAGGGGATGGAGGATCATTTCTCAGTACCCACGCGACAGGTCATAACCACCTATAACTTCAGTTCCCGGGCATCTGACATCCTCTTCTAGCTTCTTTGGGCCCCGCAAAAATGGGATACACAGACATACACGCAGGCAAAAATCCCATAGATATAAAACACAAATATAAAAATCCCACTTTTATCCTGGTATACCCCAGCAACTTCCTACCATTAGCCATCTTGTGCCTGGTAGTGATGGAGGACAGCTTCGAAGGTGAGAGCTCCTCTGTTTGCTACTGAGCAGTCTCTGTGTTAAATGTATGCATCCCTCAACTAACTGTCACGGCTCAGAGCCTTGGATCTCTGGAGCCATTTAAGAATGTGATTCTCCGGGTCAGACAATGAGTGGGCAGACTGCTTATTCTCGTTGCTCACAGAAAGTTTTCACCAAGTCTCAGAGAGGTGACTCCCCTGAAAGTATACCATGACTTATCAAAAGTCAGAAGAGAATTGCCCAATTTCCAGACCCACACTCTGCCCACTTAGTGTGCCACCGCCAGGGGAAAGGCATCTGCGCTGGTAACCTCCCACCTCCAGCAGAAGTACCCCCTTCCCCTCCTTCTGCTTTCTGGCCTACTAGTCCATCTCCATTTTCTTTTAAACTCTCTGAGTTTCTTGAAGGGTTACATAAGCTTGTGACTGATAACAGGGAGTAGAGGGGTATTTAAGATTTCTTGACTAATACTTTTCCTTCAAGGATTTGGACAAAATGAAATATAGCTTAGTTCAGGAGAAAATATAGCTTTGCTCAGAATCCTCTGTTCTAGTTTGGTTTTTGCTTTGGTATTTGAGAGTTACATAGACTTGATTCTGGTATCTCCGGTTCATTAAATTATTGTGGTGGCAGACAGGAAATTTTCAAAGTATCTCTCTAGGTCTCTGGTATAGTGGAAAGGTAAGGGACTAGCCGTCGTGAAACATAGCTACATGTGTGATGCACCTTGTTCTTGGTGCATCCCCAACTTTTGCACGGTACTACCAGGTTCCTGGGACCCCAGTGTCAGGGCCTTGCCTGTTATATTTGTTCTTCCTTCTTATGACTGTGTTCAGACATTGCTCTGGAGCTCCTAGCCAATCCCAGATGAGTGGGAAAGGTGGCTGCTCAAGCAGACAAAGGGCAAACAAGCTTCTGGAGGCAGGATATCCCAGGCTTGACCTAAGAGGAGGGACTGCTTCCGCAGCTCCTAAGTGGAACTAGAGCCTTGAGGAGATAGCTCTCTTTGAGAGAAGAATTGGTATGAGGTCAGGGAAATTTCCCCTTCTAGATGACCCTGTGCTGACTCAAGAGTCAAAGTCAGAATACCCTATGTCATGGAGACAAAATAGAGCCAGGTCAACAATAAGTCAAATAATCCTCATGTCTTTCCTCAGGCCCAACAACTTTTGTAACTTAAAACCTGCTATATTTTTGTGAAGGCTTTTAGAAATTTAAGCCTGTTGATCAAAACGAGAAATCTGATTTGAATAGTAAAGAGGCCTCTTTTCATTGTTGGGGGTGATACCATGTGGAGACTGGTGATTAGTTCTTCCTTCTGCTTAAATCTCCATGTGAGAAAGTGTGTTTCAGCCCTGTGACATGATGACCGACTCAGTGCTCTCCTCGGTCATAAGAAAACAAATGCCCATGCTCATCCCACCTCTGGAAGGAAGAGCTTTGGTAACAGTTGTCAAATCAACTGCTTTTAATGAAGAGAGACTCCTGAAGTGATAGAAAGGGTAATGGTGGAGCTTAGAGGGAAGAAGAGTCAACCCACAGGAGAAGCAATGGCTAAAACCAACCATGGATAGCAGGGGCTAAAAGAGTACTCTTGATTCCATTGAGCTAACCGCTGAAATTTCAAGCCAGAGGTCCCAGGTCACCTGCCAGAACAGTGGCAGCACTGTATCCAAGGCTAAGCCTTAGACACAGGTATAGGGCCTCAGGCCATTAGGTACCCAGTCTCAATGGGCACATGGTCTATTCACCCTCTCCTCCAGCCCATTCCAACAGGTACATGCCATAACCAATCTTAGGCCCCTTCATTGTGCCACTCTCAGGAAGTGAAGGGGTGGAAATGGTAGTTCGCACCCCACTCCTTCAACTCTCTAATAAATCCTGCTGTTGATTTTCCCCACCCAGCCAGGCAGTACTGAATTCTCCTCTGCTCACCATCTTCCCATATTACTGCAGTATCAGGCCCACAGTGGGCCTTTGAGATAACTACATCATGGTGTCCCACCCTTAGAAACTCTCCGAGTATCAGGATTACGTGGGCAGACAGAAGAGAGAGTTAAACAAGAACAAACAGAAAAGGTGTTAGAAGACAAGGCTATTCTATCTTATAGAGAAATCTCTTCATCTCACTAAAGAACCCAGAGTCATCTGTCAACTGGTTCATAGTTCATATCCTTTCAAAGGGTGTTTCTCAAGCATTCCCATGTCTGTCACCATCTGTGTCCCAGCCTCATGTGGGTCCTCAGAGGGATACAGGGAAAGTAGAAAACCATATCCACCTTCACAATGTTAATGACTCTGCACATATTGGAAGCAATTAAAGAACAATCCAAATAGTAAGTCAATACATGTTAGCTAATACATATACATACAGCGAGCAAATCAATTGATTATAATCTTAGGATACATGTCTAATAGGAAAAAAAAAGGCACCAGCATACATAATTAATTGTCAGAGGGCAGGGGGCTTCCCAGGGGAGGAAAGACTTGAGTCAGAAGGTATGTAGGTAGAATGAGACAGGGAAGCTAGAGTAGGAGGAGTAGGGGGGGTGAATGACAAGCTGTTGCTATGGGATAGAACTGTGGGTGGAGCCCATTCACACACACCAAGGGCTCCTTGCCAACAATTCCTTACATGAAAAATTCTTTCCTTAAGCACATGTGGGGCTCAGCCAGATTAGTCTTTCTCCATCTTCTGTGCAAACAGCCTCAGCATCACTGGGAATCTCCCACCAAAGCAGAGGTTATGGTCTTGCTCAGCCACACACTTCCCATCCCCTCCATGCACTTCTGAGCATGGCAGAATTGAGAGCATTAGGTTATCTTGCTGCTTCTCAGCTTGGCTTTGCCTTTGCCTAGGGAGCTTTTAAACAAGGTGATACTTCGTGGGCCATACCCTCAAAGACTCTGATTCATGGGCCCAGTTCTTGAAATTCACATTTTTTTTTTTCAAACTCACAAGATAAGCTCAAGTATGTAGCCTGGGCAGAGGAGCCTTAGGTAAATGACATTCAGGTCCTTTTTGTTTATTGTCCTGGGGTAGAACAAAAAAAAAAGCATATTTCTTCTCCTTGTGTCACTTATAAATACAGTCAACTGACATCTAGGGGCAGGAAGATTTCTGAGTTCTGACATCTTCAGTCTCCAAATGATGACAACAAGATTTTTGATGATCTATATAATTGTGCCCCCATGTCAGCCTAACCCAAGGGTACTGTATATGTAGATATTGACTCTCGAATCTATTGTTAAGTATGCATATACACACTCACACACTCACTTGCTTACACACTTCACAAATTCTGTAAGTGTATGTAAACGCACAGTCAGAATCTTTCATGTGCATTCAAACACAAATCAACCACGACTAGGAATCCCAGACCGAAACTGGGTATGGTGATGCATGATATACATGCTTTTAATCTAAGAATTGGAAACATTGAAGGTGGAAGATCATGAGTTAGCGTACAGTACAGACTGGGTTACACAGTGTAATCTTGCTCCAAATAAGTGAGAAAAGGAGAAAAATGAGACAGGGAGGGGGAAGAAAGGAGAGGAGGAAATAAGGTAAGAGGAGAGAGATAGCACGGGAGATCTCTATCCCTGCATACTGAGAAGGATTGTGAATGAATTAAGAGTTTAACATTAAGTAGCACTTCTTTCCAGAGCAATGACATGGAGGGGTAGCAACTGTCTTTTGTAAACCACCCCTCCAAGTGGAAGCAGATGATCCCTGGGAAGGCTGACCATCAACACTTAAGGGCAATTTGGTTTTTCTTGCAGATTCGAGCTGATGGTCCCCCCCATGGTGGGGTCCAGTATGAAATGGTCTCTGTGTTCAAAGATGGGAGCCCAATCCTCCGCGACATGGCCTTCTCCATCAATCAGCTCTACCTATATGTCATGTCTGAGAGACAGGTAAGTGCTGACACACATCTCTCCTTTCCAAACTCTAGGAAACCTCTGATAACCTATCACCTTTGGTCAGAAGTTGCTCTGTCCTATATGAGAGCCTCTGAACTTGCTGTGCAGGGGTTCTGAGAAAGGCAGAGTCCTGGCATTTGCAGAGAGGTAGAGGGACGATGCAGGGCCAGCCTCTTCCCGGAGGCTTCTCTCTAGGCCAGAGCCCCTGTCTGGGTGAGTGATAAAAAGCTCTGCAAGAAAAAGCTAGACTGAGCCCCACAGCATGGTGTGATTAGGAGGTAGATTTACTGCTCCTGGGCCCACAGAATTGGCTGCTCATGGGAGCCAAAGAGGTGTAAATAATCTAGGCCTTCAGGCTGGGCTGGCTCCTAGGAGACAGAACTGAGATGGGGCTCTAGAAGGAAATCAAATCTTGTCCTGAGTCTGAGATTGGATGCAGGAGGGAGCTGGTCAGTTCTGGAAAGTTGAGACTACCTGCAAAGATTTGAAACCCCCAAAGAGAAGCCTCAATACTTTGCTAAGGAGCAACGGAACAAGACCTATTTTCCTAGAACCAGGGAAGGAGTTATTCTTCAGCTCATATTTTTTTTTACATGTGTGTGAGCAGAGGGAACTGTGGGAAGGGAAGGAAGAAGGGATGGTGAGGGTTACCAGACCCTCCAAGGAAGGAAATTCAGTGACGTGCTTAGCCATGGCTGGCTATTTTATCTTCTTGATCAGGAGATAACCATGATCTGTAGCAGCCATGGTATTATCCTTTTCCTGAGGACAAAAAAGAAAAAGATTGTCTCATAACTGAGGTTGCTGGCTGACTGGGAAGACAGCTGAGCTGGACAACCCACCACTTCACTAGATATCTCCTGTGTCTTTCTTTAGTGTTCTTCAAAGACTCCAGTGTCCTTGGTCAGCTTTACTCTTCCCAGGGTTCTGTGTGCTCTCTTTTTAAAGATAAAGAATCTGGATCAAGGGGTGACAGATAAGGGGATGCGCGGGAATGAAGAAAAGGGGATGGGAGCATGGTGGCTTTAAGGAAAGCAGTGATGCAGCTCTAACTTGAAAATTACTTCTTGAGACTAGATGACACAAATCATATGCTAATTGCATGCAAATTACATCCGGATTCTCTTGAGCCCACCTGTCTTTTCTACCTTTATTTATGTGGCTCCTGCAGTTGAGGCATAAACAGATCCAGTTCAGAACTTACTAGAATTAAAGGAAGTTTTGCCGACCTGGAGTGGGTAAGGCAGTCCTAGAAATAAACATTAGTCTATTAGGCCAATAAAATAGCCAGTGGGTCTTGGAAAAGTGTTACTGGAAAGATAATTATTAGGAACAAAGTACTGGGAAAATAACAGAGGAAATGAGGCTTGGTTGCTACCCTTAAATTGATTACCATCTAATGAGGGAGACATGTCCCCAGAGATCTGCACCATCAGATAGATTTCTATGGGTGCTTTGCATTTTCCTCCTATTCTTTTGTTTTGTTTTTAAGGCAGAAACTTCTTTGTATTTATTGGAGGGAGTGCATGTGTATATGCATGTGTTCTGTGTGTGGAGGCTAGGAACCAACCTCCGGTGTCAATCTTCTGACACCATCCACTTTGTTTCTTAAGACAGTGTCTTTTACTAGCCTAGCACTCAACAAATAACTAGGCTGACCAGTTTGTAAACCCATGGTTTAGCTTGTCTATGCTTCCTACTACTAGAGTTATATATGGGTACCTTTCTTTTGTTTACTTGGGTTCTGGAGGTCCAACTCAGGTCCTCATGTTCATATGGTAAGCACTTACTGATTGAGCTATTCCTCCAGCCCCCAGAGAGTTATTTTTAAATAAGAAAGTAGATGCTTACCATTCAAATCCAAGCACTACATTTTAAGAACAATCACAAATCATCAGATCCTCCTGCACAACATATAACACCCTGTAGTCATTTGGCCAACAACAAGATGCTTCTGCAGAACTACCTACAGACAGCAGGATGGAGGGACAGAGAGGTGGCAACAGTGGAGCCTGGTAAAACAGTGGCCAAACAGGATGAAGAGATCATGCTTTGGTAGTATTTTCAGATATTTTGTATGCCTAAGGACCAAACAGACCACTCTGGGCAAGAACGTTTACTTGGGTTCCCTGAGCCTATTGATATATAAAAGCCAAGGCAGGATAGCAATGACCAATACAAGCGTATGTTGACTGGGAAGGTGCCAAGCCAAAAAGAAAAAGGTAGCATATCTTTCTCAGACAGGATGCTTTTTGAAAACGTAAAATGTAGGCAGAAGAGGATGTTGTTCAGTGGCAGAGAGCTTGCCTGGCATGCTCAAGCTCCAGGTCTCATTCCTAGCACTACCCAGGTGACGTAGAAGAGAGGCTGCATCAGAAATGAGGCTGTTGAGTAGGCTTCAGGGTACATAATGAGCTCTTGATCCATATCTGAAAGCATCAGCCCTAGCCACATCAAGTTTTCAAGTATCTTGTTTATAAATATTCCTTTCTTCCTCCTGTCTTTTGTGTCAGATGCCCTGTTCTTGTTATAATCAGAACCAGACAGATTGAGTAGGAACCAGCCATGGGGAGCTGAAATTGGAAGCCTTTGGGTTTAATGCCATGGGGCTGAATCTGGTCAAGTGAGATATTAGTAGGAGTTTTCCATACGAGTGGAGTCGGGCAATCAGGAGGCTGAGTCTAAGAGGGGTATGTGGTGGACCTCAGAAGCCTATCACCTGGGGAACTGTACATCATGCCGAAGAAGTAGCCTGGTGACTTCAGCAGGGGTAATCCAGGGCTGAGGGCCAAGAGCAGCTCATGAGGCCCATCAGTCTGAGGCCATGGAGCAGAGTATTGACACGCAGCACAGCCTCGTAAAGGGCACAGTTTAATGAGTGCTAAGAGGACAATCAGTAAGAACAAAGTCAGACAGCCTGTTTTCTCTCCCAGTGTTTGCCATTACTTTTCACATTATCCTACAACCTTAGCTTATAAAAGATGCGAATCAAATAATGAGAGGTCTCTGAAGCTCCGAGTCCTGGGTCCCAATCTCACAATTTTGTAACTGAGCTGCTTTGGACAAGTCACTTAATCTCAGTGTATCTCATACAGAAAAGTGTGAGGTCAGTTGAGATAACAAATGAAGACTCTCTTCTTATTCAGCATACTTATCATGAGGGTTCCATATGACCCCTCCAGCCCTCGCTCCCTAATCCCATTACTGGGTATGTAGAAGTGTATGGTTATTAGGATGAAGAAAACAGCACATGACCCAGATAGCTGGCCTGTTCTGAGCCAGGAGGCCCAGATTCTGGAGCCTCTAGTCCTGACTCTACCAAGTTTCCTAGGGGCCTGGTCTCTTAACTCCTCAGGGACTTGGGAAGGCAAGCTTCCAAGATAGAGATGTTAGTCTAATTCCAACATTCCCCCAGATCTTAACAAGACTTAGCAAAGGCTTGGGACTTTTAAAAATAAGGTTGGAAGTAAATGTATTTTTATTATTGCTGAATCTGTGTTTTTCTTTTACTTTTCAATATTATTTTTTTCCTATATGTCTTGGAGAGTTCTTGCCCTGTCAAGTCCTTAGGAATGATCCTGGGGTTCTGGAAATTTTTCTTTGATATATTTTTACTCAGATTATAATGTGTCTATGTCATGAATTAAAAATACCTTTTGCCAATTATTTGGTGAATTTTAGCTGGTTGTTTATCTTTTCATTTTACTCTGTATGATATCTTTGGGCATTTTGGGGGAACAGAAATGGTATCTTAATGCAGTGGTTCTCATGACTTGTGGGTTTTGTGGCCCCTTATGGTTGAACGACCCTTTCACAGGGGTCACCTAAGACCATCAGAAAACACAGTATTTATATTATGATTCATAACAGTAGCAAAGTTATAATTATGAAGTAACAATGAAAATCACTTTATGGTTGGGGTCACCATAACATGAGGAAGTGTATTAAAGGGCGTCAGCCGTAGAAAGGTTGGGAACCATTGCTCTAATAGACAGAATGATCATAATTAGGTTATTTTGTCATGAAGTGTCTCTTCTGCTACTTACAGTGTTTATTGAAGCATGCATCAATACTTTTCTAAATCATTTTTTGGAAAACTTCATTATACTTTGAATTTTATTTTATCAGTTTCGGAACACATCTGACACATAAATCAATTTCATGTTCTTGTACAAGTACTGTACTCAATAGCAGCACAGGTATGCATGATATTAGACTGCAAGATCTTCTTAAGGAAAGATGGATGCAGCCAACTGCTCCTATGAGTGTCTTCCCTGAACCATGACACTATACTGAGTAGTGATTTGGTAATCAATAAGTATTTTCATGGGTCAAGAAAGCTTATATTTCCTGTTACTGTAACAAACTATTTAAGACTAGGTAACTTATAAAGTGAAGATGTCAGTGAGCCAAAGTCAAAACAGTGTGTTTCAGTTTCTAGTAGGGGCCACTTGAACCAACTAGTATCTTCCCAATGATCTAATTACATACCACTATCTGTTCCCTTAACGGCTCTACAGTACTTTGTAGCTTGTGAGGCTTGTGGTTCAGGCACATTCAAGCCATATCCAGACTTGATGGAACATGATGGAAAGGTCCTTTCTGTAATTTTACTTTATAATACACTATGGGCCATGTAATCTTATGTCTTTCCTCTAACCTCCTGTTCACTCATTCTTTTCCAAAGATGTGGCACCTGTTACATCCTTGGAACCATGTGAGGGTAGAATCAGTTTTCCAATTATGCCTGGAGAGACTTCCATCTCGGTGCTAAGCTAGAACTATCCAATCTAGCACTCAGATATCTCTCTCTCTCTCTCTCTCTCTCTCTCTCTCTCTCTCTCTCTCTTTATGTCAATTAACTAAATGTAATTAAGAAATAGCACTAGTAAGAAGTGTTGAGTCATTAGTGCCACTGCCTAACAAGTCAATGTTAATGTACTCTTAATGGATCTATGGCTTGGCCAGTCCCAGGGGGAGACTTAGAAACAGAA